TGCCCTTGGGTTGGGCCAATCCCAGCACAAACACAGGCTGGGGGAGACTGGATGGAGCAGCCTGAGGAGAAGGACTTGGGGTGTTGAGTGAGGAGAAGCTCCCCATGACCCAGCTTCAGTGTGTGCTTGAGCCCAGACCCCCCCGTGTGCTGGGTGCACCCCCAGAGCGTGAGCAGCAGCTCAGGGAGGGGATCCTGCCCCTCTGCTGTGCTCTGGGGAGACCCCCCCTGCAGCCCTGATCCAGCTCTGGGGAACAGCACAGGAGGGACATGGAGCTGCTGGAGCGAGGCCATTCCATGACTCCATGAACTAAAACACCACTTGATGCCACACAGATTTTTCTCTCTCTTAACTCGTATTATTACTCTATACAAAAGTTTGTGTGAGGTGAAATGACACTGGTGATTTTCTTGCTTTTGACATCTTTAAGCCTGTTTGAAACAATGAAACTACTTTTGAAAGGTATTATTTTTAATTCCATTTAGAAGACACGTGATTTTTTAAAGTAGGTAAGTTTTTAGAGTAGAATTTATTGCTTAGAAGGTATCTTCCTATGGGCACTGGTGCATGCACACAGCTCCCACATAAGTAGGTACAGAGACTGAAGGAATGGAAGAGTTTGAGAAGCATTTCCCACGGGAAAAGCCAAAGCCACTTAGCCAAGGGAAGTTCTCCCTTCTCCATACAAGTGGTCTTCAGGTGAATGATTAACATGTGCTGTAAATACTGTTCACAGAGTGGAGGAAATGAGGAGAAGAAGTAAAATAGAGCAACCTGCACCACACAACTGCAGTCAAGATTCAGAAACACTGCTTAGAAATGCATACAAAGGCCAAAGATAGATCCACACATCAGCATTCCCATTGGAAAAGAAGATCATTCCAATTCAATTGTAGCATCAAGCATCTTCTGAAAACCTTGTTAGGAAGGCCTGAGGCCCAACCCCAAACCTGTGAATATTTACACAATTAATACTTATTAGAAGGTGTGAAACTAGAAGAGTTGGATGGTGTAGAGTTAGAGTTGGGTGGTGTTAGAGTTCTGAGTTCCACACAGACCAGACATCTGCAGTGTGAGAACATCCTCATCCAAGGCAACTGATTCACATGGGGTTGGTATGTGACTGTGGCAGGACATGAGTGGGACAGTGGCCTCACCATCCTTCCATTGTGTTTGTTTTCTGAAGCTCTCATGGACTTCATGCAGCTCAACACAAGTCATCTGCTTTAGCTTGTATTTAATGAGACACTTCCTAGTTCATCACTTTACTGAGCTGAGGTGCCTCTCTGTGTATACATCGACTTGTGGAGTAAGTGATATCCCCTGATTCATCTTTATATTCCAGTATTATTGGAGCAAGGCCAGAGGAGGCCACGAGGATGCTCAGGGGCTGGAGCAGCTCCTGTATGGAAACAGGCTGAGAACATTGGGGCTGCTCAGGCTGGAGAAGAGAAGCTGCTGGAGACCTCAGAGCAGCTTCAGTGTCTGAAGGGGGCTACAAGGATGCTGGGGAGGGACCTTCATCAGGGACTGGAGTGACAGGACAAGGGGGGATGGGTTCAAACTGGAACAGGGGAAGTTCAGGTTGGATCTAATGCAGAAGCTCTTTGCTGGGAGGGTGCTGAGGCGCTGGCACAGGGTGCCCAGAGAAGCTGTGGCTGCCCCATCCTTGGCAGTGTTCAAGGCCAGGTTGGACAGAGCCTTGGGTGACATGGTCTAGTGTGAGGCTTCCTCGTCCATGGCAGAGGGTTGGGACTGGATGAGCTTAAGGTCCTTTCCACCCCAAACCATTCTATGATTCTCTGATTCTATATTACAAGGACTTTCCAAGGGCCTTCCCTAGGACAGGATCAGCCTTGTTGTTTTGCTGTCTTACCTCATTATGCAATTCCCAATTAGCCTGAGTTACACAACAGCACCAAGCAGCAGCCCAGGCACGCCACAACCATTCGTACCTCATGTAAGTAAGTAAGTCTGTTGTAGAACAGGTTGTCTGCACAAAGCTGTTAGCTAAAATAAAGGGGCTGCTCCAAGATCCTTGACTGTACTTGCTAAGGGTCAGACAAGAGTTTTTAATTCAAGGTACCAAGCCAATCCAAGGAATTACCCCCTCTATTTACACATGGTAGCCTTAATATTTAACAAATGTTTGTTCCAAACCACAACTGTTTTGAGTTTCATTCCACTGCAGACAAGCCATAAAAACACTTAACAGAGTTAGGTCAGGCCTGCACTTGAAATATGTAGAACACTATTTACAAGCAGACATATATATTGTAACCTAAATAATTCTACTGGCAGACCAGATTTAACCTGTAAGAATTCAAGAAAACCCAACCAGACAGAAGTTTAACTTTATTCTCACATAGGAACAGCCACCTATGGATTTAATCCACTCTGCTGGTGCTGGTCAGGCCACCCCTGGACTATGGGCTCAGTTTGGGTCCTGCTGCACAGCAAAGCTGTGGATGGGCTGGAGAGGGGCCAGAGAAGGGCCACAAAGATGGTCCAAGGGCTGGGCAGCGTGTGAGGAAAGGCTGAGAGAGCTGGGACTGTTCAGCTGGAGAAGAGCAGGCTCAGGGAGACCTGATCCCATGTGCCAGGAGTTAAAGGGGGGCTGCAGAGGAGATGGAGACTCCCTTTGGACAAGGAGTCCCATGGGAAAGGCGAGGGGTGATGGGCACAAGTTCCTCCTGGGGAGATTCCCACTGGACACAAGAGAGAATGTTTCCCAATGAGAACAACCAACCATTGGAATAATCTCCCCAGGGAATTGGTGACTCCCCAGCGTTGGACACTGTTGAGACTGGGCTGCACAGGGTGCTGGACACCCAGTCTGGGTCATGCTGTGCCTGGAAAGGGTGGAGCAGATGATCCTTCAACCTGGGATTCTGTGTTTCTATGATTCAAACTACCAGCCCTTGATTCAACTATCAATAATTAGCTGGGGTTTGATGTTTTCCTTATGCCAGAATAAAATGTTAAGTAAGAGGAAAACAAGGGATCACCCAGAGGAAATACTGCTGTTTTCACCAGCATCAAGTCACCCAAGAAGCTCCTCTCTAAGTGAACCCAAGCAGAAGGTAGAGTCTTCCCTTTGGAAGGGGAGGTTTAGGCACTGGAGACCTGACTGCACCAAAAGGGACCCACCTTGCACAAAGATGCAGCTCCAGCTGCCCAGTCTGTGGATGCCTGAGGTGGGAAGGGATGCACTGAGATAGGAATGGTGTCCTTTGGGACAAATCACAGCTTTGCATTACAACGCAAAACCATACAGGAGTACAGGACCCTTACAAGGGGATGCACAAGCTCTCAAAGCCTTGTTCCCATCACATATTGCATATTAAAAACTAAATAAAGCTCTAAACATTGATTTTCCCCTCTTAGGCAAATGTACTCCAGCAGCCACACGTGCCACCTTCCTGATGGGGGGACCTCCACTGCCAGAAGATCATAGACTTGCAAGTAAGACCATAGAATAGAACCACAGAATCAACTAGGTTGGAAAAGACCTTTAAGATCATCAAGTCCAACATGTTAAATCAAGTAAGCACTTACATTCCCAGCAGTATTAAGTATCTCCAGGAAGGCAGCTGAGTTTTGAAAGCTCACGA